GGTTCATCACTCCATTATGATACGCAGAAGTCCACCAGAAATATCTGATACTCCCTTATTGTGATAAACACGCATCCTGAAATTTAGAATTTAAACTCCATCATGAGGATTCGAAACAAATAGAGGATCCCTGAGAAGGGCTTGGATGGTGGTATCAAATTTGTTAACAATCGCAGTGGGATGAGGAACTACCCTTTAAAAAGACAACGAAGTCGCACAAGCTATGATAGCAATGACAATGGGAGAGACCAGGTCCCTAAGAGAGCTCTAGTGCCACTGACGTACCCTACTGCTTCCTCCTAAAGCGATCAGCCAGGTTGCTTATACTACCCCATATAACAGTAGTATCACCAGCTGAAAACGACTCTCGCGGATACGTAATAGCATCGTTTCAACCCAACGGTATGCAATCCCCAGAAGAGGATGAAAAGGACAACGGAGCCACCGTGAATACGTCTGGCGAGTAACAGCAAACAGACGGCCTTAGCCTGGCAGCAGCAGCCCATTAGGATCTCCTATAATCTTCAGGCTACTACTTAACATCCCTAATGCAGTAGCAAGATATGAACACCAGAAAGCCTGCTCTTTAAAGTCGTGGCCGGTCGACTTGAACAAAATCTTGCATTCTTGGATTTTCTCCATGGTAGTTTCTGTTTCGAAAATGAAGCGTCTCTGCGTCGTAGTTCCGTCACAGTCGCGGGTGTACAGTGAACTAATTTCCAATCTCAGGACTGATCTCGTCAAGCTTTTCTGAATCCCCGAATGACTTCCAAGATTGTCACTCTCCACGCCCGTGAGATCATAGACTCTCGTGGTAATCCTACCGTCGAGGTCGACCTGACCACCGACAGAGGCATGTTCCGCGCTGCCGTGCCCTCTGGGGCCTCTACCGGGGTCTACGAGGCTCTCGAGCTCAGGGATGGCGATAAGACTAGGTATCTCGGTAAAGGTGTCCAGAAGGCTATCAAAAATGTCAACGACATCATCGCCCCCGCTCTCATCGGCAAGGACGTCACCGATCAGGCTGGTATCGATAAGTTGATGGTTGAGGAGTTGGACGGTACCCAGAACGAGTGGGGCTGGTGCAAGGCCAAGCTCGGTGCCAACGCCATCCTTGCTGTTTCCATGGCCGTCTGCCGTGCCGGTGCTACTGCTAAAAATATCCCGTTATATAAGCACATTGCCGACATCGGGGGAAAACGCTCCGATCAATTCACGATGCCTGTCCCTTCCTTCAATGTCATCAACGGTGGTTCCCATGCAGGCAACCGCCTTGCTTGTCAAGAATTCATGATCCTTCCTGTCGGAGCCACCTCGTTCAAACACGCCATGCAGATCGGAGCCGAAGTCTATCACAGCCTCAAGAAAGTCATCAAGGCCAAGTACGGCCAGGACGCCACTAATGTTGGTGATGAAGGCGGATTCGCCGTGCCTGTACAGGACAATAACGAGGCCTTGGATGTGCTCATGGCGGCTATCAGAGACGCTGGTCACGAGGACACTGTCAAGTTGGGCACCGATGTCGCAGCTTCAGAATTTTATGTCGCTGAAAACGGCAAATATGATCTCGATTTCAAGAACCCAAATAAGGACAGTTCTCAACAAAAGACCGCGGCTGAGATGATCGAATATTACAGAAATTGGTTCAACTCGTATCCGTTCGTATCTATTGAAGATCCTTTCGACCAAGATGACTGGTCTGCTTACACCAAGTTCGAGGCTGAGTGCGGTAAACAGGTCCAGATAGTCGGGGATGATCTCCTCGTTACCAACCCTAAGCGTGTCAAGAAGCTATTGATGAGAAGGCTGCAATGCACTGCTCTTGAAGTTAACAGATCGGCTCCGTTACAGAGGCATTGAGCTAGTACATGGCGGCAGCCCAGTGGGGAGTGATGGTCTCTCATCG